GCAGCCAGAATTACTGGTTACTCAAGACCATGGTTTCCCGTGGGGTTACGTATTTTTGTCCGTCCACAGTTTCTAGTGAAAACATGTTTTAGCTCCAACTGTGAGGGTTCAGTTTGGTGTGATGTGTGGATGAATACTTGCACGGTTTTCTTATGGCAAGGCTTCAGCCAGGTCACACCCTCTGGCCTGCAGGAGCCAAACTGAGCAATGAGCATAGACTAAGCCACAAAGGAGACCATGGGTTTAGGAATGGGTAGCAACTTAGGCACGGCAACTCGGGGTGTATCTGAGCACTTAAGCTGCATGCCAAGGACACTTAAATTTGAGCTCAGGAGACAAGGGATAAGAGGGGAAGACTGATACCTCCTTGAAGAGGTATTTACTTTTGCATTACCTGGAAGTCATCTTGTCTTCTTGTCAGGGCTGAGATTCAAAGTCATGAGCCCTGACTTTATTCCTGGAAGAAATTTCAAAAGGTGGTGCCTTAGGGAGCCTTGTGTGTAATTATCAGTCTTTTTAGGACACCAGAGAGTGGTGGAAGGCCATAATAGACAAGAGGTCAGAAGTGAACTCAGATCCAAGACACACACACCACCAGTGAACCGGCATTCCCCACTTCTTCAGGCCGTGTGCACTCTCCAGTTGCGGCAAAGTGTTACCAACGGTTCTCCCTCAGATTTTAACCATTTTTGTGTTCTGCTTTTCACTTCTAAAAACAAAGCTCCCTCCAGAGTCACCTCTACTGAACAAGGATGCTGATAATTAACGTGGCTGGTAAATACTCTGAACTAAGGAATACCTAGAATCAGCTGAAGAGAATATTCTCAACATTGGTCATGTTAGTGAAGGCTCAGTTTTTGTTTTTTTTAAGTTGGAGCCATATTTGGATGCTCAGGAGAAGAGTAGCTTTTGGCAAAAAGAAGAGGTAGTGTATTGTGGAGTAAGGAGAAATACTGTTTCAAGGCCCTGCAGACCTGTTTACCAATGTGACAGTCTTGCAGTGAGGAAGGTGGATCTCCAGAGTGGGCTTAACTTTCTTCTCTGGCCCATCCTCTACCTACTGCGGTGAGCAAGATTTAAATCTGGGTTTCACAGAATCTCTGATCTAAGGATGTAGAGTGTGGGGGTGTGTGTGCACGCGCATGTGTGCAAAAAGTATCTGTGCGGGCGGGGGGGAAGGCATTCATACACCTTCCTGCCTCCTCTCCCCTCTTTCCAGCCATACCCACATCACAGATGGGAACACAGGTCTGTTCTCTTCTCATATACACACTCAGTTCCCTTTCCTAGCCTTTGAGGTATGGGAAGGACAGTAGTGTCGAGTCTGACAAGAACAGTTCATCTCTGCTGTGTCACGTTAGCATCCCTAGTCACAGCCCTCATCTGCCTTGAAAGCCTGCTTCAGAGCCTGCCTCCCCGGCCTGCCTTCTGGATTCCTCCCCTTCTGCTCCTTCTCCGCTCTCCCCGTGTCCCGGAGCACACAGTGTTGAGCTCTTTTTATAGCACTCACCACAATCTGCTCCTGCATCAGATCTGATGGTGTCTATTTCTCCCTTACTTAGCGCTCCTGGAGACAGAACCTTGCCTTTTTTTTTTTTTTTTTTTTTGCCTCTTTTCTCAGTGTCCTTGTCTAGTGCTTGGCAGCAGATTTGAGGCTGGCCAGTTTGAGGTCCAGTCCAGGTTTATTACATGGTATGCTTAATTCCAAGAGATCATATAGCGTCTTCTTTAGAGGTGTCACGTGATCATAACCTCTGTATTATATAATGATGCCTATCCTTCTGAGTCTGCCTGTCCCCAATGGACAGTGGCACGTTGTTCTTTATTATTCTTTATTTTGGCACCTGGAGTCTCAAAAAACGATTCTTGAATTAATAGATATTTAGTAATGATGTATATTTCATAAACAGTATTTAAAATGATGTTGCCTACTTGTAGGGGGGGAGTAAAAACAATGTACCAAGAAGAAGAGGCTGAGAAAAAAGAAAAAATGCAAGATCTTATCGCCTTCAAATTTGTATTAAACAGTAAGAAAGAGCAGAGAATCTTTTACCAGGAACACTGTTTCTTTCATAGTTACTAAGGTTGTGGTTACATTTTTTAAAAATATGTATTAATATTCATGACTTAGATTTACTTCATAAAACTTTCCAGGTTGATTGTTCAAGTTTGTTTTGGAATTAGCACTTGAGATATAATATTATTGTCTATTTATTAGACTGGCTCTTTCATTATTATTGTTCAAGTGATAACTTAGACTTTCCAAAATGTTTTTCAAAGTACTAATGAATTGTGCGGGCCTCTTTTTTTTTTTTTTTTTTTAGAAACTTAATGCTTGTATTTTTTATTTCTAATGAGCAAGTTGGATATTATCTAGCAAGATGCACATGATTATTGCTTTTTTTTTTTTTAGTATTTGGTGCTCCAATTGTTCTCCCATGGGAAACAAGAGCTTGCTTGTTAATGAAGTAAATATCTAAGAGCCTTCCATGTGCCAGACATAACCTGCTTCTGTGACGTCACTTATATTGTTGTATTGTGTGTGGGGCTGGGGATTGATTCCCACTTGCCTGTTTGTGTCTCTAGGATACATCTATAACTTAGGTTTTTCATAGCCAAATTTGGCACAGTGCCTGACTGAGAGTTAGGAAAGAATTAACATGTAGATAAATAAATGATATTAGATACAGAGGCATATAAGACAGCCTGCTACCAAGAAGGTCTAGTAGTACAGTTGGACTGAAAGCCAAGGGCATTAATTATTAATACAGTGTTTCTCATCCATGTAACAAATCCACAATAGGGAGTTTGCCCAGAGGGCTGGAAGATGGCCTAAATGTGGGATGGCACTTAGGAAAGACCTTCTGGTTGATGTGCTATCCAGGGTGAGCTATGCATGGGCATTTCTCAAGTACACATAGGGAAGGAACAACCTTCTGGGCCAACGTAAGTCAGGTCACTCAAATGTGGAAGAGCTTTGTCTCTGGACTGTTCATTTCTTTTGCTATAAGGTAACATGCGAAGAGTTGATTCATTGGAAAAGACCCTGGTGCTGGGAGGGATTGGGGGCAGGAGGAGAAGGGGACGGCAGAGGATGAGATGGTTGGATGGCATCACCGACTCGATGGACTTGAGTTTGAGTAAACTCAGGGAGTTAGTGATGGACAGGGAGGCCTGGCGTGCTGCGACTCATGGGGTCACAAAGAGTCGGACACGACTGAGTGACTGAACTGAAACTGAACTGAAGATGTGAGGGGCTTAGTGGCAAGAGACAAGTATGAAAAAGACAGGTTAGCTCATAAAGGGCCTGGAATACCCTATAAAGGATGTGTAGCCTTTATCTCACTCTCTCTCTTTTTGTGGCCGTGTGACATGTGGGATCTTAGTTCCCCACCAGGGAGGAGTTTTAACCACTGGACCACCAGGAAAGTCCCTAGCCTTTATCTCTTTGGTGATAGCATGGAGGAGACTGTTGTTGTCAGATTCATAAAACTGTCTTCACCCGCTCACTCCTCCTGTGTTTTCTCACTCACTGCTACCTGCCCCAGCCGTGAATCTGGGTGTTTTCCTTATCCGTTCTTTTGCTGTCATGTGCCAGCCTGCTGCTCCATCACCCTGAGCTCTGCCTTTCAGCTCTGCCAGGCTGTTCCTCTGCCCTCTGCCCTTCTCCCTAGCACTGTCCTTTGAGTTGTTGCTTCTAGGCAGTGTTTTCTGACTTCTCACATCTGGATTTGCCCAATTGTGCCACATGTGAAGCAGCATTTGAGAGACTTGCTTAGTTTCCTCTTTTGTATAAGACACTGTGAACTCTGTGATGGCTGAGACCATCATCTACCATTTTATGCCTTGCACCCGGCACAGTGCCAGACAGTAGGTATTTATTGAATATTAGGTGTATAAATATCTAAAGTTCTTATTCTCATGTCCAACACATAGAAGAGCATCAATAAGTGATGAAAATTTTTATTGTTTTCTCTCATGTACAGTGGTGGTTGTTTAGTTGCTAAGTCATGTCCAACTCTTTTGACCCCATGGACTGTAGGCTGCCAGGCTCCTCTGTCCATGGGATTCTCCAGGTAAGAATACTGGAGTGGGTTGCCATTTCCTTCTCCAATCATGTACTGTAGCTACAGCTATTCAGTTAGTTAGAATTTAGTCGCTCAGTCGCGTCTGACTCTTTGCGACCCCATGGACTGACTGTAGCCCACCAGGCTCCTCTGTTCATGGAATTCTCCAGGCAGAAATATTGGAGTGGGTAGCTGATCCCTCCTCCAGGGGCTCTTCCCAACTCAGGGATCAAACCCAGGTCTCCTTCATTGTAGGCAGGTTCTTTACCATCTGAGTCACCATGTATAGGCAATAATCTCACCTGTGCGAATAGGTCATGATAAGGACTGAAGCATGGCCATGAGAAGTGACAGGTTAGAAATTTATGGCTGATCTTTGCTAATAGCCTCTCTGAGAAGTGGTGAGAGCAGAAGCCAGTAGATGGTAATAAGGAGAGGAAGTGTAGAGATAAATGTGTAAAAATGGTGAACTGGAAAGGGAAATCCTTAGAGAGGAAAATAGAGAGGCACCAAGGTCAAAGGGAAATACTTAAGCTTTTTTTGGGCGGGGGCATAGTTGATTAACAATGTGTTAGTTTTAGTGTATAGTGAAGTGATGCAGTTATATAATACACATACATATATTTGTTCTTTTTCAAATTCTTTTAAAGGAAAATACTATGGTGAAAGCATGCTGAGCCTGGTCATAGGCTGAGGACGAGTCCAACAGAAAGGCAGGTTCAGAAATAGGTGTGGAGTCAGATCAGGCCCCTAAGCAGAAGCTCTGGCTTGCAGCTGAGAGAAGGCATCTCTAGTAATGATGGAGACAAGTCACTGGCGGGCTGCAGGAACACATGCAGGGGCCTGGGGAGGAACTAAGGCAGCGAGGAAGCCTGATGCAGGCATGTCCGGTTCTGTGCCCGAATCTGTCACTGTGTTTCTTTTCCCCTGCAGGTGTTCGGCGGACTCGTGTGGATACTCGTCGCCTCCTCCAATGTTCCTCTACCTTTGTTGCAAGGATGGGTCATGTTCGTGTCTGTGACAGCTTTCGTCTGTTCCCTTCTCTTCCTGGGCGTGTTCCTCTCTGGCGTGGTGACTCAGATTAATGCCAACTGGAATTTCCTGGTAAGGGATCTTTATATCTCTTTCTAGAAAATGCGAGAAACTTGTGAGTATCTTGTTCTGTCCTGGGATGCCAGATCTCTGGTTCTCTCCATTGCCTCTAGTGGGAGAGGAGAGGTCAGAACACAGGGGCTGCTGTGTTGCCGTGTGGCCGGCCCATCTGGACAGCAGGGTCCCAGCTTGTGCAATTCCGGCATCGACATAACTCAGCCATCTCTCTGTTACTCCCTTTTGAGTTAGATGACCTTTCTGCAAAGATGGTTTTATTGTGCACAACAAATGAATCACATTACAGTTATTGAACTGTTGAACAGATGCTTTTGGGAGATGGATGCTATGCCATTTATCTTAAAGTTTTCCATTGATTCCTGCTTCAGATACCAAATACACATATTCTTTTCAGAAAACAAGTAGCTCTATATTCTACTCTTCAGAAAATTTAGAAAAGACAAGGGGATATTTTGTATTTATTTTCAATGTCCTAGATTAGCAAGAGTAGATACATTTAAAGAAATGAATTTGCAGTTGACACCATTTTAAAAATTATGATACCATTATATTGGGTCAACTTACATTTCCTTTTTCTCATATCATGTAGTCAAATCTCTTTTGTGCTGTGGTCATTCATTCTCTGGGGTTATCTGTAAATGGCCCAGTGGAGTATGAATGGCAGTCCATTGGTGATCAGTTTAATAAGGAGAAGAAGAACCACTAGGTTTCTATCACACTTTGGCAATTAGAAACTTAGATGAGACCTTCAGTCAGCCTTCATATGTTTCTTTCGAGTGTGATAGTGTTTTATTCAGTAGCAAGAAAAAATATTTGTTCTTGTCTTGTTTATAGACCATATTGAGGAGCATCATCTCAGATGTTACCAGCAGTGAAGTCTAGCAAATGTGACTGCCCTTTCAGTCAGCCGGGGCCAGCTAAGGAGGACTTGTAGTGCGATGGTTATAATCCTGCCCAGGCTTTGAGATTAGTTGGGTCTGCTTACTAACCAAGTAGCCTTGGGCAAAATACTGAGCCTCCTTTCTCTAAAATGATAGTAATAATACTAGCCTCACCAGATGTTGTTAAGGAACAATGGAATTTGTGTATTGTAAAATGTTCACCTTATAGTAAGTGATCAGTAAAGCATCAAACTCCTTAAACATGTTGAGGCTTGCAGTTTGAAACTTATAAAGTCCTATTTCCTAGGTTGCTGATACAATGTATTTCTGCATGTTTGCCTTGATTCTCCTTAATGATGAGAAAAGATTTCTAACTATTGCTCAAGGAAGATCAAAAATCCCTATTTAAGTTATAAATATTATAGATGCTTAATCGCCTTTTTCTAAATGCCTGACTTTCTTATATTAATGCATGAATGAATCAGTCATTTCTTAATGTTGGAGAGTGCTACCAAGCTCTTTTAATATCAGACTGGAAGATGGTAATTGGCCAATATGTACCAGCAGACCAACTCTACTGGTACTTTGGTACTAGTTAATATATATATTTTACCCTAACCTACTGCCTCTTCCTAATCCCTATAACCTGACCCTTTCTTTGGGACCTTCCTGGACCTCCTAATAGCTCAGCAAATAAAAAGTCAATATCTGGAAAAGTAGTGAGTCTCCAGGATCCTGCATTATCTCTAACTGGTTGAGGCTTATGTCCTACCAATGTTTAAATATGTTTCTGATATCACTCCTGGTTTTATTAGATGTACGTTCATATCCTGTTTTTCTCTTTTGCTCATATTGAGCCTTATCTTTGGTATTGAGCCCAAGCATTGATATTGTTTCTAAATTTATTAGATTTAATTAGGTTTTCTAAACTTGTATTTCTTTCCAATTTTTGTTGCATTGTATCTGATGTTCATACAATAAAACATGTTTTGTTTTTTTTTTAATTAAACCACTTTATTAAAGGGAGAGTTGAAATGACCAGTCTGCTCCATAAGTCACCTGCAGAGTTCGTCTTATGGGTTTTTAGTTAGAGTAGTCCACTTTTTGGAGAAGGCAATGGCAACACACTCCAGTACTCTTGCCTGGAAAATCCCATGGATGGAGGAGCCTGGTAGGCTGTAGTCCATGGGGTCGTGAAGAGTTGGACACAACTGAGCGACTTCACTTTCACTTTTCACTTTCATGCATTGGAGAGGGAAATGGCAACCCACTCCAGGATTCTTGCCTGGAGAATCCCAGGGACGGCAGAGCCTGGTGGGCTGCCATCTAAGGGGTTGCACAGAGTCGGACATGACTGAAGCGACTTAGCAGCAGCAGCAGTCCACTTTTACTGAGAGAAAGCTGGGGACAGCAACACACAGTACCCAGTATGGTGGTTATTAGTACCATCTTGTCATATAGTGGGTGTAGTTTCACAAAACCAACTCTGGCCTTCAAGAAATTTGCTTATGTTCTTACATAGTATTTAGAAAGGGTACCCTTTCCCCTCTTCTTTTGTGATTTTCTGCATTCTTAGTCATTTTTGACTACATGGTTGCTTTTGATAGGTTTTGTAATTTATTTCGTACACTCAGCCAGGAGAATTTTTGAGCCATGCGTATCATGCAGTCATCACCAGATGGTAACAATTTTTAATTGCTGCCTTCTGGAGTTGTTAAACATTAATTGCTTAAAAAATTATTGCTTCCCCCCATGATAATTGTTTACTGTCTGTCACCTGTATGCTGTGCATGAAGGAAGCAAGAATGCATTTTGATAGAGAAATTATTTTCTAGACCTGTTCATTGTGGGATGTTACCTACAATATGTATACCTTCTCTGATCATGAGATTTCATTAGCATTCATGACTGATGTCTTCAGTATTTTTTCTAGTGTTGGTGTAAATAGTGAAATAACAGTATAATATGTTATAACATATATTGGGCTTCCCAGGTGGTGCTAGTGGTAAAGAATCTGCCTGCCAATGCAGGAGATGCAGGTTTGATCCCTGAGTCAGGAAGATTCTCTGGAGGAGGAAATGGCAATCCATTCCAGTATTCCTGCCTGGAAAATCCCATGGACAGAGGAACCTGGTGGGCTATAGTCCATGGGGTCACAAAGAGTCAGACATGACTGAGAACACACACATATACACATACACACAATAACATATAGTAAGTGCTAAAAACTTGCCCCCTTCTAATTGGGGGAAAGAAGCAGATTTTAATTTTGAGATGGTTTTTCTTATCGTGTTTGATGGAGAAGTAATAATACCATTTCAGTTCAGTTCAGATCAGTTGCTCAGTCATGTCTGACTCTTTGCGACCCTGTGGACTACAGCACGCCAGGCTTCCCTGTCCATCACCAACTCCCAGAACTTGCTCAAACTCATGTGCATTGAGTTGATGATGCCATCCAACCATCTCATCCTCTGTCATCCCCTTCTCCTCCTGCCTTCAATCTTTCCCAGCATCAGGATCTTTTCCAATGAGTCAATTCTTTGCATCAGGTGGCCAAAATATTGGAGCTTCAGCTTCAGCATCAGCCCTTCCAATGAATAATTAGGACTGATTTCCTTTAGGATGGACTGGTTGGATCTCTTTGCAGTTCAAGGGACTCTCAAGAGCCTTCTCCAACACCACAGTTCAAAAGCATCAATTCTTCGGCACTCAGCTTTCTTTATAGTCCAACTCTCACATCTGTACATGACCACTGGAAAAACCATAGCTTTGACTAGACAGACATTTGTTGGTAAAGTAATGTCTCTGCTTTTTAACATGCTATCTAGGTTGGTCATAGCTTTTCTTCCAAGGAGCAAGTGTCTTTTAATTTCATGGCTTCAGTCACCATCTGCACTGATTTTGGAGCCCAAGAAAATAAAGTCTCTCACTGTTTCCATTGTTTCCCCATCTATTTGTAGTGAAGTGATGGGACCAGATGCCATGATCTTAGTTTTCTGAATGTTGAGTTTTAAGCCAGCTTTTTCTCTCTCCTCTTTCACTTTCATCAAGTGGCTCTTTAGTTCCTCTTCGCTTTCTGCCATAAGGGTAGTATCATTTCACCTGACTTTAAATAGGAGTATCACATTTATTTTCCCTTTTCTGAGAGATGGAGTGGTAAGGACAGATGTATGTTAGAGAAATAAAAGCTATTCCCTGAAAAAAAGGTCCTGTACAATTTTAAAGGTTTCCCTTTATTCTGCAATATGTAGCTGGCACACATGTGATCATTTGCCTAGTGTAGAAATCACTTGATATCTTAAAATGTCCTGAGCTTTGTTTCCTGTTATCACATTTATTTGCCTGTTTGACCTTATGGAAAACTAGTGTTGTCCTCATTTTTACAAATGAGAAAATTAAAGGTTGGAGTGACTATTATCCTTTTTTCATGCTGCCATTGTGTAAAAGAAGATCCCTCTATATACAGTGTGTGGTTTTTTCTTTTTTAATAGTTAGTGAAAGTTTGATCCTGAGCCGAGAAGCAAAACAAGATCTGGACGTAAGACTGTGGGAGAGAGTAACTCGCTGCTGGAAAGATTCAGGCTGTAGTTGAGGCTGAGCTTACTGGTGTTGAAGGCAGATGAGTTACACTCTGGGGTGTGTGAGTGTTGGGAAGATTGGCAGAGAAGCAAAAGTATGTGAGGAAAACTCAGAAAGAGGATGGGCTCCTCCGCTAATGGAGGAGTGCCAAGGGCTTCGAGCAGGTGGTCCACAAAGGGTGGTCCCTCCCCCACAGCACTGTCATCACCTGGGAACTTGTTAGGAATGCAGATTCTCAGGTTCCACCCAGACATCTAAGTCAGAAATTCTGGGGTTGGGGCCCAATAGTCTGTTTTAACATGCTTTTCAAGTGCTTCTGATGCACACTCACCTTTGAGACCCTCTGACTTAGAATAAATAACCTTCATTGTCCCAAACAATGAGCAAAATTGTGGAAGACCTCGTGTGTACATCCCACACAGAGCAGGAACTGGAATAAGATGTCCAGAGTGGCCAAATATAAACACGGGTGTGGCTGTCCAGGCAAGGGTGGAGGGAGATAGACTGAGCACCTAGTATGTGCCTGATTCTTCC